AAGACACTAAAAGATCTGTACTTATTTTAGTTTATGATTTATAGAAAGTAAACAATTCATCCGAATAAATGTATTTAAAAAAATCTTTATGAAAAGTACAGCATGAAAGTTCTGACTTATTTTCATTTTCCCATTAAAAAATAGTCACGGTCACTGTAGATGTTTAAAAAACTTTTTTTTAATTATAATAACCCTAGTCACAGCAATTCAAAGTCAATGCACTGTAGATTTTTAATCCATTTTAAAATGCTTTGATTTACTGTTAGTGTTTATTTTCTCCATAAAAATCTCTATTAGAGAATTGATAAAAACAAAATATTTTGATTAATTTCCAAAACTGATTTCATATTTTGATAAATCATTTTTTCAAACATGTGAGGATTTTTCAAGATTCAACACCTACTTACCAATAATTATTTCTGCAGCATTGATCAAAACAGAAGCAAATCTTGGCTGAGACAGATTCCTACAAAGCAAAAACTGTTTACTGAAACTTATAAACTTTAAAAAAATAAACCTTAAAATAGATTAACTGAGTTGTTCCATCAGTTCTCTACAAAGATCAAACTAAATGTCTCTCATTTGGAAATAAAGGATTTAAGGTGCAAAAATACTGACATAACACATACCTTATCAAAAAATTAAGCACACGACTGATTTCCTTTTCATCCCGACCTGCAAGGGCGTTTGCAAGGACTCCTCTTCGATTTAGCTCCTTTATGATGGAAACTGTAATCTCAGGTGTCTTTATTGTACAACTGGGCTAGAAAAATATTCAGTACCAATATGAACAGATAAGACAAAAGAAAAAATCATATTCTTGGAACTTACTAACAATCACCAAATTTAAATAGGTTTTTATCTTCACGGTTTTGAGTCTCGGTAATGAGCAAAGCAAATAATATGATTCTTTTAAAAATATGCTCCTTGTAGGTTCATCAACTATAACAAATGTAACACTCTGGTAGCGATATTGATAACAGGAGAGGTGAGTACACAGCAGGGCAGAGGTATGTGGGATATCTCTACCTTCCCCTCAATTTTGCTATGAACCTAAAATTGCTCTTAAAAAATAAAATCTTAATTTAAAAAAATATATTTTATATACACACACACATATACACACCATTCACTCCTTACTCACCTCAAGGACTCTGTCAAGTGCTTTGGAGATCCGGAAATTTTTCAGATCCCTGTCATATAATTCTAGGTGTTTTTTTGATGGCCTATTGATCAAAATGTCATCCTGCATTGAAAAGTAAATTTACAGAGAAAAATCAACATCTGTATAGTGTTTCATTCAAAATAAACTTTTTCATAGTGGTATTTTTTTATACCAAGGTGTCCCTGAACTATTCATGAATAATGGTCATATGCCCATAATATAGATTAAACAAAAATGAAATAATTTGCCACATCGGTGTGTTCTGACTCTGATTTTAACTTATAACACACATACAATATCTCAATTCTGGGCAAACATTACTGATTTCAATTCTCTTTGCATGAAAGGAAATATGATTTAGCAGAAAGAGAAAACACAATCAGAGAAACTATAATCTAATGAACAATTCTGGTTACCAGTAATAAAAGATCAAATCAGATAGTGTGTGAAAGACATTGTTTTGAACATGGTAAAGTACTATAACACTGTTATGATTCAGGGTATTAAATAAAGTAGTCCCTATTCCCCATTACTCATCAGTAATGTCCCCAATCAAGCAATCTGGAGATAAATCTGATATAGAAAAAAGCAAAATAAAGTTAAATGCCATGCAAACTAAACTTTTCAATAATGTGCACAGAAGGAGTTGACTACTCTAACAAAATTCACCTTTAAAAAAATATAAGAAACATTTAAATACCCGTTGCTTCATGTAATTTTTTCCTTTAATAAAAGTCCGATATGCAGGCCTCCTTCTCCTGGGTAGAGAATCCTTCTTTGCTTCAGATTTCCGATGTTTAACACTCAGTATCCCATTGGTCATTCCTACAACTATTGTCTCATCTTCATGCTAACAGCAATGAGAAAAATACGTCAGTCTATTCCTAACTCATAATTTATCTTACTTTTTCTTCAAAATAGCATTTATAACATTTGCTGCTTATCCATTCTTTCACCAAGAGTTCTAATCAGATACAGATGCCCTGCCTAACAATGATCTATGCAAAAAGTTAGAGAAAAATCATTTTTTCCTCCAATATACTATTATATTGACTGAATTTATACCTGCTATAAATTATCACTGGCCGTTTGTATAATAATAAAAAGTTATTGACATCTTGGGAAACTCGAAATAATTTTGTTTCTATATCCTCTTACTAGAAAAAGAATTATATGGTGGCATGACTTTCTACAATCCTGCCAAGAAAATACTTGGTAATAAGATTTTCCTCTCCCAAATCAGATTTCTATATAATGTATTCAAATATCTTCCTCCTCCATGGCTCATGAAACTTGACAGTGGACATTCCAGAAAGAGCAATCAACAAAAAAAAAAGATATTTCATTTTGTCATGCCCTCTTCTCCCCGCCATTTTGTTGTTGTTATTTTGTTTTCTTGCTCAGAGAGCCAACTTGACTTTCTAGAGTACTTAACCCTTGAGTTAAATGTTTTGAAAAGAGGTTTATCAACTTTCCAGGTCCTGCCCTTGGTGTTAACAATGCCTAAAGCACTGTACTTGGCTTGAACCTATGCAGTAAGTGGGACCTAAATCTGAACACATACTAAGTTATTGGGACAAGTCATATATTTTAGCAATTGTCTTAATTTAATTCTCTAATGTGGCAAGAAGAAAATAACTTATTCAAATACAAAGATAAAGTCTAACATTCCATTTTAGTTTCATTTAACAGGTAGTTAGTGAAAGTTTCAAAAAAAAGCTAAAAGTACTTACTGCAAGGGCAAGACTCAAAATTGAAGCTGCATAATCGAAACTGTGAACAACTTTGTAGGAAGTTGTACTATATACTTTCACCTTCCTAACAAAAAAGAAAGCTTTGTCACAAATCATCTTGGAAATGAGTATAAAATGCAGATTTTCTACTTTTTTGAAAAGCACTATACAAATTTTAAATTTGTATACTGTACAAAAATGAAGAAAAATAGTAATATTAATTACAAACTAATTCATCACTGAACTACTTATTAGTATTAGGCATAACGTTTGTATAAAGACTATGACTAGCCATCAGAAGTATAGTTCGTGAACAACTGGTGCCTGAAGATAAAACTTGAGAGTTAAAAAAACTATCAATGAAAAGTACACTTGAAATCAAAAGAGCAAGTTTCTCAACTTCAGCATTATTGACATTTAGAGCTCGTTAATTCTCTGTTGTGGAGGCTGCTATGTGCATTGCAAGATGTTTAGCAGCATCCTTGGCCTCTACCCACTATATGCCAGGAGCACTCCACCCCCAAGTGTCACAACAACCAATATGTCTCCAGATACTGCCAAATATCCCCTGGGAGACAAAAATCACTCTGGGTTGAGAACTACTACAAATAGTCCAAACTGACACTTAGCTTTGAGGGACACATCTAAAAATCAAGTCCCAAATTACCCAGTAACACCATTACAAAGAATTTGCTGTATATTTACATAATAAATTCTTTGTATTAGAAATATTTTCTAGATTTAAAATGTGTATACTTTTTAATAAACAGGCTGAAAAAACAAGGCTTTACCTAATACAGTAAAAAAGGAAATATGGAAATAAAATGACCAAACGGATGAATATATATAAATTCTAGAACTGTGCCATAGTTCTAGTGGCTAGTGAGCACTTCAAATGTAGCTAGTGAAAATAAACTAAATGTTTTTATTTTACTTAATTTTAATTAACTTAAATTTAAAATTTAAAACCGAGGCAGTATAAAATTATTTTTGTTAAACATAATATATTTCACTTTAATCACTGTAAAACATTATTGTATCATAGGGTGTCTATTAGATGCTTAAATTGTTTTTAATCTCTCATTAATAAATTTTACATTGATCGCATACTGAAATAATATTTTAGACACACTGGACTAAATCACTTTTACCCAGTTAAACTAATATTAATTATGTCTTTTTACCTTTTTAATGTGGCTACTAAAACATTTTAAATGGCATATGTAGCTCACATTACATTTCTATTGAATAGCACTGCTCTAGAACATTAACTAATGGAATACTAATACCTACTTAAAATAGTAATAATTGGGCCACATTAATGTACAGAAATTTTCACATGAAGCTTTAAATTTTAAAGAATATAAGCTAGAATATATACACTCATTATAAATGTTTCAAAATACATAATAGTGATTTCAAAAGAAACTATAGACTAATATAGATTATTCTAAAAGATTAATGTTTAAATGGTTCCATAAAATACCTTAAGTATATAAGTTAAAGCAATAAACTATATCAAGGAAGAAAATAAGCTTGCTATATGTAAATAAAGGGTCAAATTTTCAACGGAATAGATTTTTTTCATGTAAATAATTTGGCAGAATTATTTATTTTATCACAAATACTACAGAAATAACTCATTCCTCAAGCAGTAAACACTTATCCTAATAATAAAGAAAATTAAAATGCCAACCTATCCAGTGAACCAGAGAGCAACCTCTGTCCAGAGCTGCTCAGACATAAACACGTCACAGTTTTATGATGATTTTTCAAAGACACTAGCAATTGTCCTCCTTTAAGCATGTCCCAGACTTTAACATAACGACCTCCTATGAAAAGAAAGAATCATTACTTTGCTATTTTGCCTGTAGATTCAAAACTTTAAAGCTCCGAAAAGCATTCTTCAGTGGACACTCCACAGCGTGGAGGTTAAATGGGGGATTCTATAGGCAGACTGTCTGGTTTCAGTGCTGACTCTACCATTTATTGGGTGTATAACTCATAATAACCGTTTCTACCTCACAGAACTGTTATGACAACTAAATAATTTCATATTTGTAAAGTACACAGAATTGCCTAGCAAGATAAAACGTAAAATCAAAAAAGATCTTATTTTTAAAAAGTTATAATAAAATCACTCTTCAAAAAAATTTTTGTGCAATCATGGGAAAATGTAGATTTTATTTCCTAAAAATTTTGTGAATCTCAACAAAACTGAAAAGCTTCCCTATAACTTTTTTTCACTTTAAGAATTGGAAGGATCCTTAAAGGCAATTTAATCCAATAGTTTAAAAATAATTTTTAATACAGCATCTTTTCTTTCGACAAAATATTAAGTAGAAGTCTAATAGATAAAGTAGACAAAGAGGTTGGAGAAGGGAACAAATTTCTTACATACCCTGACTGGGAAACAGGGCCTGGAACCAAATTCACAGTCCCCGTCTCCCCACATGTGAGAGCTCATGAGAGAGATCACAGTTTGAAAATACCGATCTAGCCCAATCTCTCATTTGCAAGAACTATAAAAGTTAAGGAATTTCTCAACGTCACATAGTTAGTGACAAAGCAGAGATTAGCATAGAGGTGTCTATTCTCCCTGTTCATCTTGAACTTGTTTCTCTTTCTCGAAATAGCAGCAAGACAAATGAATATGTCTGAAAATGTTTTCAACTTATTTTTAAATCAAATAGGTACTGGGGAAAAGAGTGTAACACAGGATAATGTCAGAGTTAAGCAAAAAAAAAAAAAAAAAGGCTACACACAGCAATAGGTATGCTGTAAAGTATACATGCTACCTAATTTTGACTCGACAAATGAAAAAAGCCAATCTATTTCTAAAACTATAATTGTAAAAATGCACTATGAACAACATAACAAAAACATCTTAGTTCCAACTAAATGAAAACAGTTATCAAGGCCCCTTTGACCTCGCATTATCTCTTCCTTCAGCACTATCAACTATCATTCAAGAATTACAAGAAATGAGACAAACCTGATTTCAGATCTGAAAGAAACTGTTTTCAAAAGCTGCTGCAGATCTCTTAGGTAAGAACAGCAGGACTACGACCTGGGCTTCTGCGTTCAGGACGTAAAGCATGCTCTCAAATTCTGGGATTTCAGATCTGCCATTTTGTCTTGGACAAATTAGTTAAACCTTTTATTTCCTTAGTTGCAAAACAGGGAGAAAACTGAATACTTTCTAGGCTCATCTAGGGTATCAGAGATAATATATATAAAATAGCACAGAGCTTGGCTCTGTGCTATTAGGTATTCAGTTAAGTGATAACTCCTTGCCTGTCACACTTATCGAAAGTTTGAGGAGAAACCTAGAAAGCCAATTCAATTACACACTGATAAATTACAAAAAGTAACTGATAAAGAAATATCTGATTCAAGACCAACAATATTGGTGAAAGCAATTAAAAAAAAAAAAAAAATACCTGCTGATACCAGAAGACCTCCAGAGGGAAAAAGCAGGACACTCTCCACTGGCTGCCCATGCTCAACAGAAATAACACTTTTGTTTGTTCGTGTATCAAACATCTTCACAGTATGATCATATGACCCTAAAATGTCAATTTTTGTATTATGAGTTTCACTACTCAAAAAAACAAAAACTGTGTGTACATATATGTGCATGTATATGTATTCAAACATAAATTGTAAAAGAAGAAAAAGCTTAGATAAAATTTTTAAAAGACATGTATATTCATAAAGATATAGTACCTCCAAACTCTCTGGTACCACTGACTTTCTGAAGAAGCATTGTATTATACTACACAGAATCTTAAACTATTCCTATCTTCAGGCTTCTGGGGATCTTTGCACAGGCACCCTCAGAGGCTGAACTGTATTGTCTTTGTTTCTTAGCTGTGGAGGCTTTAAAATCAGAGTACTAAACCCATTACAGTTTTTACAGTCATGTTTTCAAGACAGCCTTTTTTGCATTTGGAAGACAATAAGAACAATCACCAAAAGAAGAAAGAGAAAATAAGACAATAAGATAAACAGAAACATATTTCTTTATAAAAATTTTTTAAACTTCTCTATCCCAAAAGGGTCTCAAAGCATATTAAAACCAATCACAATAAATTTATCAATTTCAGGAGCTAGGGAGGTGAGGGATGGAAGAGTTCACCAACCTGTTACAAAGAGATCTGGGTTCAGTTTGCTAGCACATCCACACCTCACATAATCAGAATGTTCTTTGAATGTCAGAATTTCTTTGGCGTTTGGAATATCCCATAATTTAACTGTATAATCATCAGCCCCAGAGACCACATGATATTTGTCAGCAGTAAAATCTACTGTATGAACTGCTCTGAAAGATCAAGAATCAGCATATTAAAAAACAAGGGAAAAAATTATATTTCTGGCACCCTCTAACATAAAATACTCCTTTTCCCCAAATAAAAAAGCAGCTCAGAATCAGGGAGTAATTGTAGGGGAAATCATGAGAGAAGAAAACATTCAAAACAGGTGTTTGTCCTCAAGCCAATTTAAAATTTTAAATACCTATGCACTATGAAGTTAATAAGAATATTAAATAATAGCCTTAAATTATATTTTCTAATATGTCAACAATTATACTTAGCTGCTCAATGAAAGTAAATGTTCTAAATGTTGGTGCAAAGTTACTTTTCTTTAATTTAATAATTTTCAAAATGGGTAGTTCTTTAAAAATTCTAAAATTTGCCACTTAGTAGGATCAGGTTAAGTGAATTTTTGTTATATTTTAAATGTTTCACAGATGAGGTAAGGCCATCCTGATAATACACTATTAAAAAAAATTTTTGAGATTTTTAAATTGATACCAAATTTCGGCCCTTACACTGGTAATCCTGAAACAAAGTTATAATATAAAACTGCCCTGGCTATTCTATTTATCGAGTGGCAAATAAATCCAAGAAGAAAGAAAATCCACCTTCCAACTTGACTTCAAAATGAGAACCTCTAATACAGTCCAGGCCTTCAGAGTTTTCATCAGTAGTTGTAGGCTGCCTTTAGATCATCGGTTTATAATCTCAGCTGGGTCACAGAACTCTCTGAGAAATTAATGAATGCTATAGGGTGTTTCCCTAGATAAATATGTATTTCCTAAAGTGTCACATACAATTCTAGGGAATTCATGAACCCCATCAAACTGGACCATAGGACTGGACCAGGTCACACACTCTGTCTTAGAACAACCAGGAAATAAAGTACATATAGGTACATAATCTTCATAGAACTGCTCTCTATGTTTTTATTCAAAGCTGAGAAAACGAATAGCATTTACAAAAAAAACACACAAAAACTAACTGTATGGTGATGGATATTAATGAGACTTATTGTGATCATTTCACAATATATACAAATATCAAATCAACATGTTGTACATCTGAAACTAATATAGTGTATGTTAATTATACCTCAATTAAAAATAATTTTTTAACTATCTCTTACTTAGTATGGCCTTCGAACTGCCTGAGGGGAGCCCTCCCACTTATATCAAAAAGCTGAACTCCACCATCTTCACTGCCAGCCACAAGTAGTCTACCATCCTGTCGAAAAGTAGCACAGTACGCTGTGTCTTTAAATCGAGAAAAGGTTTTTATAGGTTCTTGGGAATATCGGCCGTAAATGTGAATCTACAAAAAAGACAAAAAACACAGCATTTCACCAGATGGCGCATGATCAGTAGTAAATATAAACTATACAAAAGAAAAATAAATGTAATGTTCTATTTACCCTGGAAGAAGCCGTGACAGCATAATTATATGGAGGCTGTGAAGAAAAGTCTACTTTTGACACCGCACCAAACTCCTTAATCTGAACAGGGGTCTTAATAAAAAAATAATACACAGTATTAACAGAGTTACAATTGGTAATATCTTAGTAACATTAATACAGAAGTATGAAGAGAGCAAAAAGGTCCAAATTCCATCACCCCGATTATGCTATCCCTGTTTCTATTAAAGAAAATAAGTATATAGTTGGAAAGCCACACCTCACGTTTTCTCTTCAGCTATGGAGTTTTCTCGGATTATTACTGGGAAAAAAAAGTTATGGCTGTACCAGCCTAGATTTAACCATACTTTTTTTTTTTTTTTTTTGAAACTGACACAAAGATCATATCATGCAGGCTGTTGTGCACCTTGCTTTTTTTTTTTCACTTAATGACACATCTTCACTAACTTTTCACACAGGCAATAGATTTATCATCCACTACTAGTCTACTATTAATGGACACAAGTTTTTCCAGGATTGCTAATATTATAAATAATACTTCAATGAATATCTTTATATATATATATTTAGCAAATTTGGGGACATATATTCACTGAGTAACTTCCAAGCTGTGGAATTACAAGGCTGAAAGGTATTTTTACCATGATAGATGATGCCGAATTGTTCTCAAGAAAGTTTCCACCAATTTCCCTTCCTCAAATAGCAATGATGATCAAAATATAATATAAAATATAATATATAATATAAAAGAACAGTATCCAAATTACTGTTTTAATTTGCATTTCAATTATGAGTGAAGCTGGGGCTCTTTTAATGTATTTTATTGTCCATTAATGTATTTATTATTCATTTATTATCCATTTTTAATGTATTTATTATCCATTTAATGTATTTTTAATGTATTTGTCCATTTAAATTTATTTTTCCATTAATCTCCCAATCTCAATCTATTCTATTTAGCTATTCATCTTTTTAAAAAATCATTTATTAGCCTTTACACTCTAGAAGAATTTTACATCACTTCCTCCTTGTATTAAGAAAGGCAAAAAAAAATCCTTTCATATAAGATTCAAATTCAGAAACTTAATTCATTTGGTATCAATCATCTATTCTGTGCTAGGCACTTGTACGTTTAAACAGATGAAGCAATACAAACTTCTATATAAAATTCCTAGAAAAAATATCAGATATCAAATTTTCTGCCTAAACTATAAGTTGCTGATGATTATTTTTAGTTATTGGTTGTCTTACTGGAGTATCCAAAGTATAACACATGCTAGAGAAATTGGCATAAATACTTACCTTATAGTTGTTCCAGTATAGTGTATCTTGGGTGATTTTTTCACCAAGTACAGGAAATGCCTGAATAGTTACAGGCTTATAACCAGCCATAATTTCATATAATTGGACTGTTATCCAAAAGTAGTTTGGAACTGACGTTAAAAATAATTATAGTGACTCTGTCTTATGTCTGAAAAAGAAAATGTTTTATATACATGTTATTCATAAACCTGTATATATAGTTGATTTTCATTCTGCATCCTTTCAAAAGGCTGTGTAATAGCTTATAGTTTAGTGACCAATACACCATTTAATTATAACAAAGAAAAGACAATCTAAAGGCAGTAGGAATATAGATAGGGCTACCATATTACATCATCTACTCAGCTATACAAAGAGGCCGTACACAAATGCTCTCACCTTTAACTGACCAATTTACAACACTTGGGAATAAATCTGGCTTAGCCATCCAGCAGCAAAAGCAGAGAGCACAATGGCTTAGAATGTTCATTAGAATGTTCATTTATTGAAGGCAATAACCACAAATACAAGTTTCCTAAAACTAAACTTAAGATGACATTTAATCTTTAAAAACATAGTCTAGGGACTTGACTTCCTGAAAGCCTAAAAATGCCAAGAAGAAAGTAAAACAAAGCTAATATTCTAATGTAGAAGCTTTAAATTTAAAAGCTTAAAATTAAATTAAAAGTTATGATATAGAAACCTAAAATTAATTTAAAAACATTTAAACAATAAGAAAATAAGACTAAAGCAATTCTTAAATTATAAAGTGACATAATAGGATAAAAATGAATTAAAACTTTTAACTGACATCTAAGTAAGCCAAAATGTCTTTCCAGAACTATTCAACTGCAAAAGAGACTCAATTTTAATTATCAGGAGAATGATTCCAATGATGCAACTCATTGTTAATTCCAGAAAGCCTGAAAATAGTGCATCAGTAACACCAAAATAAATAGGTATAACATTATTTTAAAGGCTGTTTTGATGAAACATGGTTATCAATGATTAAAAGAAGGGAAATTTTTCTGTCCATTCAAGTATCTACAACATGTAGGACACTGTTCTAGGCACTAGAGACACTGTAAGTCAAAGACGTGGTCTGTACCCTCACATACTCCATTTCAGCTGGTGATTGGCACCAGCTGGGAATCTGGAATCAGCCTTGACTTGGCCTTCCTTCTCATTTCTAACATACAAACAGTTAAAAAGATCTGCTGATTTTACCTCCCAAATCTTTCTGAACTTCATCATGTCCACTCCATCTAGTTCCACTGACCTAATTCAGATCTTCTCATCTACTGAAATAGTGCAATATATGGTCTCCCTGACTCCCTCATCCATCCTCCAAATACCCATCAGTTATCTAACTATGATGAAAATTTGCTACAAAGCCTAACAACAGCCAGAAAAGAAGGTCCAAGCTCCTTACCATGGCATGTAAGGCTCTCTGTGACCTTGCCCTTGTTTATCTTTCCAGCTTCATCTCTTGCATTCCCTTAACATGCTATGCTCTTTCTTGTCTCAATGTCTCTGCCCATTTGTCCTTTCTACCATGGATGACCTCTTTCTGCCTACTTCCATTTAAGATCAACTCAAGGATCACATCACCCAGGAAACCTTTTCTGACCTCCTACACTGGGTCAGAGGCCTGTCTTCTATAATCCTACTTGACTGCATATTTCTGTCAATGCATATAACCACATGGCATTGTAATGATCTCTTTTTTCCATGAAACTGAACATTTTGTGTCTGGAAGGCATTTTTAAAAAGTGCTCAAAGAATGTTTGCGGAAGGAAGGAAAGGAAACATTGTGCTGGGTTCTAGGGAAAAACACAAAATTAAAATCATAAGTGGTGTCTATAATGTGAACACTGCTATAGAGCAGGAGTTGACAAAATTTTTCTGTAAAGGGTCAGATGATAAATATTTCAGGCTTTGCAGCTGAACAGACGAAATAGAGGATATTATGTAGTTACTTACATAGCAAGAAAGAAAATTTCCAATACTTTACTAATGAAACCCCCAAAATAGTTGACTACAATTTTTTTTATTTATGAATGAAAACAATAGGATTCTTTGGAGAAGGATAATATTTCACTTACTTCGTATTTAAAGTTAATTTTTCCTATCATCAAATAGATTGCAAATGCCCACCTGTAAAAATCATTCTTGGTTCACTGGCTAGCCTGCCCCTTACTACAGTACAGGCAAAGAAGCACCGAAATCTGCCTTGAGAGAAATAGTTTTAAAGTTTTAAAAGGAAAAAGTGAGAAGCAGTAGCAGTGGTTTGCCAGAATAAAGTGAGAAACAGCAGTGTAGGCGGGGCGGGGAAAGGAAGCACGACACAGTGGAAAGGCATGGAGGCAAGAAGTGATGTGAAAATAAAAAGGAAAAAAATGATCGAGAGAGCTCAGAGCCTGAGAAACTGGGACTAAATGAATAACAGGTACTACAGTACAATGCACAACATCAAATATATTCTATAAGTAACGTACAGAATGTTGAGCTCAGATTTTTAATTCTAAGTGGACTTCTCCCAAAAAGATTCAAAGCGTGCATCTGGCTGGGCCTTGAAATACAGCATTAAAACAGACTGACTACTTAAGATGGGCACAAAGGCGGAGGCGGGGTAGGGAGCATTCGAAACAGAAGGAGTCTCATAAGCAAAGATAGATATGAAAATCTGCCCATTGCCTTGCAGGGGTGCGGATCACTCCGGGGACTAATAATCATGGACGAGAGGGTGTAATCGTAAAGGAGGAAAATCTAGGTAGAAGCGAAACTGCGGTGATCCTGAGGGGCTGGTCAAGTTTAGCCATTCTGCGAAGAATGGAAAGCCCCAGAGGAGCATGCCAGAGGAAGGTCGGAGGTGAGTCTGGGCTACCCACACTGGGAGCCGCCTTTGCCTACCTTCGATGGGCCCCGAGGGTCCGCCGAGACACCCCAGTTCCAAGGAGAATTTCCTGGACTCTGCCAGCGTCCTATCTGGGTCCTGGATCACTAGAGGAAAATCACGTGGAAACTCCAGGAGCCGCCGGGACACCGCGCGAATAGAATGGCCACGCCCGTCGCACGAAGATGACTTAACGGCGCAGGCTCACTAGACTCACGCAGGCCGGGTGTCGCGGGGGCGAGGCAGGGGGCGGGGCGATGGAAGGAGGCGTGGCCGGAGGGCGAGACTTGGGCCTGGTTCTGCTGGCCCAGAGCAATCCGCGGAAATGAGGCTGTCTCGGTAGTTCTCGGGCAGTAAGGACCGCACAGCGCAGCAGTGGGAAAGAACCTGGAAGTCCCCTCCGCTGCAGTAATGCGAAACATTTTTGGTCCAGAAACCGAAAGAAGAAATAGGAAGTGACGTCGCGGTCAAAACAAGCCGGGGCTTGAGGGCCTGTAGTGAGACTGTGGCCGCTGGTGTAAAGGTCCGGCTCGCTGTTGGCTGTCGAAGGTGATCGCGAGGCCCTGTGCCCCAACCTGGCCGGCATCCGACCCCTACTCCCAGGACCCGCCCGCCGCGGGTGAGCCAGTTTCCGCCAGCCGTACCTGAGCCGCACTAGGACTTTTCGGGCAGAGCTGGCGGGTGGCAACAGAGCGGACTTCCCTCCCTGCAACAGTCTTCCCCTGTAGCTGGCTTCTGTCCTGGGACGCCGGGCACCTGTCGCCTGTGAGGCATCATTCATTTTCATAGCACCTGCCTTTCTTTGTAGGACAATTCCAGGATTAGGAAGAGCCGGGGGGCACCTGCTGTTACCATCCCCTGGGGACTAGCACAGTTGCCTACTTTATCTCTTTAGGCCCTCTCTCCCCCTACAACCCTGGGCTCCGAAGGATCGAGATGATCTCAACTATACCCGGCCTTACCTCTTTATCTCACCACCTCCTATTTCCGATTACCTTTTTTACCCCTTCTCCTTTTCTTCAAAATTTTAGCTTAACCAGTCAACTTTGCTTCTCTCTAGAGTAGTATCACGTTCTATTT